CTGTAAGGACACTTCCCGAAGGCACTCTCTGTTTTCACTTTTGTAAGCCCAGTCTTTTCTCTCTTCCCACCATAATCTCTGTCTCCCAGGAGAAAGATCTGGAAGTGTCGTGTCATAAGCCCTGACTTTTCCACATAGTATGTGTGAGGCCAAGGGGTGACATTAGCAGGCTTTGTCTTGATCTCCCCTGAAAGCTTCTTCTATGAGATGCCCATTCCCAGAGGAGCCCCAGAAGTCATCCTTAAGTCTTCTGTCGGGAAAGGGAAACACTTTCTTAAAAACTACAATGAATCACTGCTTCCATGACAATGATCGAATGAAGGTCAGGAGCCATCTAGCTGCAGATTTTAACTCTAGGAGAGAAAAAGAAAGCTGCCCCAACAACTAGCATTTATTAGGAAACTACTATGTGCTCGAAGCTACTGACACTCCGTGTTAGGTCGTCAAAATGGCAGCCCTGTGATTCCAGCGGCAGATGGAGATGCTGGGAGCCGAGCCAGACGATCCTGCGTGGTTCCCACTTTGCACGTGGCCTCTCCACCAGCCGCCGCCTTCTGCCAGTGGGCAACTTGGTTGCGGGGGGAGGGTGTAGGTCATCAGTAGAGATTAACAGTGAATGCACAGTTTCTGTAGTAGTTTTTTAAAGCATGCATCTATTTATAAGGGATTTATAATCTAGTCTCTATCATTTTTTCCCCTATATATTAAGTCAGACATGGGACCCTCAACACTTTAAATATAGACAAGTGCTAAATCACAGACACAGTTTCAACTGCTATTTCTCGTCTGGGTCACAGGTCCCTATTTCTCCCACCTTTGTCTCAGAGGCTACTGAGACCCAGTCTCCCAGCCTCTGCTCCTTAACCAGCAAAGGCCCTGGCCTGCCTGCCTCTTCAGTTCTTAAATTCCGTCTTTTCCAGGCCCAACCTACTCTTGCCATTAGGCCAGAATCCTCCTCAGCACCTCTTTGCTTTCAGGCTTCGAGTGACAATGAAGGCTATATTAATTTACCTGTGGGTTTCTAAACATATTTCAGAGCTAGCCTGAAAATCCAGGTCATTTATGATATTGACGGCTCTAAGTTCTAAACAAATTATTTAGAACAAATAATTTAGAAGCAAACACTTGAAATTCAGGCACTTTGTAAGTGTCCTGTGTTAGGACAAGAGGAACTGGGCTTTCTAATAGTGTTCAAAAGTTTCCCAGGAGAAAAAGACAAAATGTCAGTCTTCTTATTCCCCCTCCAGCCCCACTCCACATCTCACTATGGATTTGGTTATGGGTCCAGTGAAGTTACTGGCAGCTGCAAGTGTTTAAACAGGGCAATCTTTGTAATGAGCCGTGTCCAAAACCAAGCACAACTTGTATTAATTTTTATAGCAACCTTATTTTTCCCTAGTGAAACTGAATTCTACGTTCCCACTTTTGTCTAGGGTTTGCCAGTCACCTTGGACTCCCCACAGCTCTCTTGTCTGGTTTATAACCATAAAACAGGCAGAGGGTAGAGGATTTTCATGTCAAAGAACCGCTTTGAGTGAAATGGATGAAAAAATGTAATTAACAAGAGGTAGAATTTTGGGGCCAAAACTTCTCTGCTCATTGATAAGCCTGTGACTTTTAGCAGAAAGCGTTTAATAAAAATCTCTTCTAGGTACAGCTTCCTGAATGAGCAGATAATGGGTTCAATGGAGTTGCCAGCATCTGTATTATTGAAATTATATAAAGAAATTATCAGTCAAAGAGCAGGCTTTGCTGACCCATAAGCAATACAGGCCTCAGAGGGGAAAATGTATCTGTTGTTCCTGCCAGACAATGTTGTGGCTAATGAGAAACAAATTCAAAATCAGACACAGTCAATATTGACACAGTCAACATGAACCCAACAGTACACATTTCATGTGCTTAATGCAAATAAATGTGGCTCAAGATATAATGGCAGTGGGACATAATAATCCACTTTTTATGTAATTCAATCCTGGACCTCTTAAAGTCAATATGCAAATGAATTCATATCCTGCGCAGATAAATATTCTCGTTGGAGTTTTTAACACCTAAGCCAACAGGCTTAATTCTTATCCCAAAGTCCTGGCAGGTCTATTACACTACCTTTGTTTTTTTCATTGTTTTTCTTATTAATAACTAACGAAATTCCACAACCAGCTTCCTCGTCTACAGAGATTCTTCTTAAGTAGGCATTTGTTCATTTGTTTTTAATTTCATAATCACATGGAAGAGCAGCTCTAATGGAAGAGTTACATTGGACATAGAGATAAAGGTGGGTAGGGCGTAGTTCACAGCACAGCATTCCCGGGCGAACCTCCGGTCGGGAGACTGCATGAAAGCAGCACACGCTTTCTTCTGAAACTTTACTCGGATGGGGGACAGAGTCCAGAGCATTTACCACAAGCACAAGAATTGTTCCTGCATCGGGAATCTGCTTCTGCATCAAGGGAGGCTTTGAAGTGCATTTGTTTCTCATTTACTAATGGCAACTCTTTTTATGAAAAACTCAGAAATGTGAAACAGTCTCCAGTAGGTCACTTGGGGAAAGGAGAACAGAGGAAAAGAACAGAGGCCTGCGATTTTTGTCTGGGTTTTTGTCCCAGATTTTTGTCTAAACCACTTGGCTTCTCTGGGCAGGGATCAAAGGAGGGTGGCAATTACACCTGACACCAGGAATTGCGAGTGCCACCCTCGGAACCTCTCGGAGAAGCCTGCACGACAAGGAAGCTGCGGTGTCCTAGGACTGGGATGCTCTTAGAATGACATTTCGCCTCCCAATTTGTGCAGCTGCAAAACTGGAGAGAAGGCACAAATGCATCTTATACCTCCAAAAAGGAAAGCCTTTCTCACTTAAAATATAGGCACAGCCTTGAAGGATGTGAACAGTAAACACAGAAAGCATTTTCTTTGTAAGATCTGAGTCACCATTTTCCTTAGTTACAGAAGCCACGCCCAACACCCAGATGTGTACTCTTGCTCAAGTTCCACTGCCTGTGTGAGCCAACTAATGTGCAGAGTGATCTTTTTAAATCTGTAAAATGGGCATAATATATTTTTTATCCAATTTACAGGACCATTGTGAGATTTCAGTGAGATAATGTATGTGATGGGCCATACATTCATAAGCTCTTGCACACCCGAGTTTCACCCTGTGCTATAGGGAGAAGGCCCAGCCTGGTCCCTGGATCTTCTCTCAGGCACCTTTTTAGGCTCCAGGTTGAGTCCAAGCTTTGTTTCCTCCTACATTCCCTTCCCTCTGCAATGCACACTGTCCAACAGGCCATCAGACAGCTCTACTCCATCCCTCCCCTCCTAATCAGCTCCCTTCCCCAGCCAACTTGCAGTTTCCTTTAATGATATGTGTAACAAATAGAGGTGTGCTTAATATAACATATATTTTCCTGTAAGTAATGCATAATAATTGTAGACATTTTTGACTAGCTAGATAAAGCACCCATTGGACTTAGACCTGGTTAAATTTCTTGAGTTCTACACCTGGCTTGGCTCTTCTCACTGCAAAAGTCTATTCCCAAGTTCAGGTGTCTGGTCTCATATCCTGAAGTTTGGTTCAAACAACATCCATATCAGAGTCATCTACAATGGAATTCCAGAGCCCCACCTTTTTCCATAGTCTGAACCAAAACCGTTGTGGGTAGGGCCTGGGCACATGCTCCGCATTTTTGAAAAGCTACTCAGGTGATTTTCTGCAGACCAGTGTTTCCGAGGCTCTTCTTGGGATTCCAGACCACACTTCACAAGCAAGGATGTGACCTGCCTTGCTGACATCATCTGAGAGCATGTTAGAGATGAAGATTCTCCCCTTACACCCAGACCTACTGGGAAGCTTTACAACCCACTGACACCTGGCCCCACCCAAAGATTCTAGGGGTGCAGCCAAGGCAAAGGGCTCTTACAAGCTTCCCAAGTTATTTTCATGTACAGCCAGAATAGAGGACCATTGTCCTCTAAATACCTGCTTTTTTTTTTTTTTTCCGACTTTAAATAACTTTTATTTTTCAATTGGAGTTGACATACAAAGTACTTTAGTTTTGGGTGTACAACCCAGTAATCAGACATTATATAACTTACTAAGTGATAACTCGGATAGATCCAGCACCCACCTGGCGCCGCACATAGCTATTACAATATTATTGACTATATTCCCTGTGCTGTACTTGACACCCCTGTGACAATTTTGTAACTACTTAATCCCCTCACCTTTTTCACCCATACCTAAATTCCAGCTTCTTAAGGTTAATCTATAACCTGAGTTAAATTGACTTTTGTGGGCTTGCCCGGGCCCCAAGGACCACTTGGAGAAAACAGTGCTTCTCTGGAGACAA